AACAAGGTAGAGGTTTAAAAGAAATTATGTCAATCCTAATTTAATTTCCTGTGCTGGGCAGGGCTCTGCAGAGATGCTGGTGGATGCCTGTGATGCCAAGGGACTTGTTTGGGAAAAAGATATAGTGGGGCCAATTAATCATGGAATGCACTTAGAGATGGGCAAATGGAATTTGAAATGAGCACTTTTGTTTCATTAACTTATAAAGCCTCCGGGGCTGACAAAAAACCAGGATGGATACATCAACAGTCAAGACTAGAAGAGGAGCAAAAACTCAAATGGAAATGAAATGGAAAGGCAGCCTATGGCATACAATTAATGTTAGGGACTTGGCCAAGCTAACTTGAGGAATGCCCTATTAATTACTGCCAATTCTGTGGTTGCAACATATATTTGAATAAGCAAACAGGTAACTGGTTCTTTCAATCTGTACATGTCTATGAGTAATCAAATGTGCCACTTTTATGTTTTCACATGAAAGGATGTGACTGTTAGCATATACCTAAGAGATGTGTTGACAGAAATAGATTATTTCTTCATTCGTTTTCTGTGAATATATTTACATGATTCCTGTGTAGGTGCACAAGGGAACAAGTTTTGCAACTGAAAATCAGAAATCAAATTGCAATCCACCACCCCTGGAAGGGGACAGAAATGAAAACAGTAAACGTGATATATATGAACGTATATCTTCCAAACAGATAGAGATCATGCACACGCCAGGGCACACAGCAATCCATATATGTACACACATACACATATCCACACATCCACACATTTACAGTGTCTGCAGGAATGCAACCAAAAATAAACCCTTTTGCATGCACACATGTCATATGCACATGCTGAACACACAGCACTGTTTTAGATAGGTACACAAATAGATACACAAATCCAGTATCAGCAGATGCACTCAGTTACCACTTAAGAAGCTGTTTTAAAGGGATGTTGATTGAATATTACTGTGTTATACTAAAAGGTGTTTCTATTATTTAGTACACTTTATTGATGTAAATGGGAGGAACTACTTGTGTGTATGCATACATGAAGAAGAAGAGGAAAAGTAAAAAACTGGATTGAAAGTTTAAAATGTAAAACTGATAATATGAGAGGCATAAAATGTGGGAAATGTCTTGGTACAACAAGGAGAAAAAAAAGAAGCCAAATGTGAGATAATACATTTCCTATATCATTCCAATTTAATCAGTTTCATTTCATGGTAACAAGACAAAACACCTTTAAAGTTTAAGAAAAAATGAGCAGAATAAAATGATACAGCACAAGAGTATCGCTACATTATGAGCCTGTCGACGTGAACAGGATGTCCTGCCAGCTCTGCCACAGCAGGCGAGGCACCGTGTTCATCTCAGGAGTTTTTCCATATGACTGCTGGAGCAGCAGCAGGAGTGAACGACTCGTGAATACAAAGAATAGGATGGTGCAGGCCGAGTAATATTTTCCATGGTAGCAGGCATACCTTGGCATCAAGTCTGCCATTAATCTTCAGCAGCAACTTTTGATTTCAACGTTTTCTGATGGCCGGCGACTGAAACAGGTTTTTGCGTTATTAAAGTGCCATGAGGCGTTTAATAGATGGTTCACTGCATGTGCACTGTGTACCTCAAGACTTTTTGTTCATTTGATTGTATCTATTTTATTAAATGTATCTGACTGGCTATTAAATGATAAAGAAAGTTTGGGACTGTCAGAGTTTTTCTTTTAAATACTGGCAATATAGCTGACCAGAGGTGCTTGTAAATCACAAGTTCAATAGAAAAGTGTTTTCCTGAAGTTCTGTGGTGAAGAGTTGCTTAAATTTGCTCCCTTACTTTAATACTGTTCATAAATTTCTCAGTTGTGGAGGGATCTTTTGATTTAGTATAGGAAGAAAGAAATGTTGCTGATTTGTCATTTGGAGTGTAGCCTACATGTTATTTCATTCTGTAGTGATGGCTTGCATGGTGGTTGTGATATAAAGCTTTTTCCACCAGTTTTTTTTTCTTGACTAGCCCAGTTCTGTCTGGATCTCTCACAATGATCAAAGTAATGTAGTTTTAACTGGGTTGTCTTATTTATGATAGTATAGAGTTGTGAGCACTGTAAGTTCTCAATGAAGGTCCCTGGTTTCCTGCCATCAGTAGAAAAAGACAGTCAACTCCAGGCTCAAACTTTTCCCCCAAGTTTTAGGCTTTTAACTGTTTTTATTGCCAGTGGCTTACCAAATGGGTGCCGGTGTGGTTGTGAGGGAGTTATTCAGATTTGTTCATGTAAATAAAGGATGTTCACACTGATTAAAGGAATAGTGTGTAATATTTAGGAGGATCTATTATCAGAAATGGAATATAATATTCATAGGTATGTCAGAGTGCCATGTTGATCCACCATGTTTCTACAGCCCAGGACAGCCATACCAAACACTGGCTGTAGATAGGGCCTTATGCATTTTTTGTGTGTTTCAAGGCCACAGTAGTTTCTCCTGCATGTCCAGTGTCCGTGAATGTTGTAGCCCTAGTTTTTGCGGTGTGTTCAGCACCACTGGCACCGTCTGCCTTCCTCTGATCACGCTGAATTGGCGGCAGAGGCCATCGGTCAAATGTGAATCAATGCATAAGAAGAGGAAGAGCAAGCGGAACATTGAGAAGGGAGGTTATTTTTAAGTTCATTTCGTCTGATCATTTGCTACTTTCTATCAGACATTTTTTTACTTAGAAGCAGTTTACGTTTTACGAAACCTACATCCATAGGGCTACTTTTGTTTATATCCGCAGTCCTGGGTCTTGCAGTGCTCTTTTTTGATTGACGAATACAGACTTCTGCCACCTGCAAGCACAGAACATACGTGCTAATTCGCCATTCGCTGTAGTCAGTGCGGTGTGTTGTAGTGTCACTTTTTGGCCGAGAAACAGACAATGTGAGGCAAACTAAAAGTTGACTTTTGTCGCATTTAGTTCTTTGATGTCGATTTAGTGTGTCAGCGCCTATAAAATGAGGTCTGTGGTATCACTGTGCCAAAGTACAGCCTCAGAGAGATGCTAACGTGTGTGTACAGTAGACTCTCAGTCTTGTTACTATATTTAAACTGTATAAATTATTATCTAAATATTATGTATGTCAATATAAGCACACAACAAATGACTTGAGATGTACCTGGAGCTCTTATGTCTGTGAGTTGTGCAGCTTCATGACTTGTCTTCGAAAGATAAATCATTTATAATTGTATCAGGCTTTCCCGAACTGTGTGAACTCTCTTCCTCTTCCTATCTGATTCTGACTCCCACTGATAGAAGAAATGCTGCCTGAAGGAGGGTGGCTAATGCTGCTGATAGTCTGCAAAGGCTGTTAAGATTAGTTTAGCTCTGGAGCAATCATTAGTCACCTAATATTTTTCCTCATTTGATATGATTTGATTGGAACATGCTGCCTTCCTCCAAATCAGACTGTTAAATGTTTGTACAGTTTTCCAATTCAAAGGTCTCTAACCAAGCTGATTGACTCTCACTCGGTACAAGTGGTTGACACACTAATAAGAAACCAGTTTCAAGTATTGCTTTTGGAAATGTGTGGCTGACAGCACATTCAGTGTACCAGATAATGTGGCAATGAACTACCTATATACTGGTGCACAGAGCATTCACGTATCAGGACAGGAAGTAGCTTAGTATAAGATGATGGGGGTTCCATTTAAGTTTAAACAGTTTCTTAAAGACTGCAGTGAATCGATTTTCTATCACAGAGCTTAAAAATACAGAGTTTGTGTGGGTTTGAAGAGCGAGTCATCCTTTCATTGCAGAAACTGAATTTTCACCATACAAAGAATATACATCTGCTGGAGATACAGAATAAATGTTTTTATTTATTCTCTTAGCAACTTCTCATCAGAAAACATTAGTAATGATAACAGCCTTCAAAAATCCATATCAGTTCAACACTAATTATAGGACTGACTGTCATGACAGGCAATCCTCTTTGTAGAAGGCTCAAACTGAAGGGTCTGTTTCTGAAATTACACTGCCATTTACTTTCCACTTAACCAAACAGAGCCAATCAGAAAATAGACTGGAATGTGATTACAGAGAGGAACATGAGAGATTAAATAGAGTTTACAGTAAAAGTATAGGCATGAAGCTACAAATAAAGGAGACTGTAATGGAAATTTTACAAAAAGAAATATAGCACTGATAAACCCAAGGATGTTGTGCTTTTTGAGGACTACATGCCCGGAATTTTAAGTGGTAGGTGAAAACGCCTTACCTTCAGTTATCTTTGTTTTTCTTAAAATAGTCTGCATATTTGTAGGCTTACATGAATCTTAAAAACACAGAGCAAGCTAGTACACTATGCAAAACTTAATGATTAGGGTCTAAAAAGAAAGTAAATGAAAAAAGCACTTGGCTTACAATATTCAGTTCAGTGTTTTGTTATTCACTGAAGGACGTGAGGAAGACATGTTTTTTTTTTTTTTAAATGTATTTATGTAAAGCAGAGGAAGGTTAAGTGCATAGAAAGAAATGGTTTTGGACAGTGCACAAAATGATGTGCTGATGTGTTAATGTGTTGCAATGACTGAGTATTGTAACAGAAGGCTACTTTCCTCTTGGAGTTTTGAAATAAAGCATTTGATAGCCAACTAATTATAATTTGTTGGTAGAATGTAACTATCTATGTGTCTTAATTTATAATCATGTTGACATATACATTTATTTAAATTATCCCTACCTTGACCTACTGCTGCTTACAGTAGTGCATCATTATTAATAATAATCCAATAATAATAATGACCAATAACACACACACAATAGTAGTAAAAGAGATTATTCTGCTTTTGTTCAGACTTTAGTTGATACAACCTAATATTGTCTACTATATAAATAAGCTATATAAAGTAAATAATATAATATATATACTGTAGGAGTGCTATTATTACTGAAGTAAAAGATGTGGATTGTCCTGCCATTACATTAACCAGGATGTGGATGAGCTTCAACAGGACGAGGTTTCGATGCGCATGCGCAATGCAATGAGCATGAAGAAGTTGACGTAGACCTGCCTCAATGAAAACAACGTAGATGTGGCGCCGTAGAGGAGCAGTCTGCAACAGATAACAACATCTGTGGCGTTTATTCAACCTCAAGTAAAGGTAAGAGAGGACCGAGGCGTGGGAACGGGGTTAAATGAATGTATCCGTGCACGTCAGCTTACGTTAGCTCGGTTTTGATAGCTTAGCTAACCTCTAAGAGGCTAATGCTGCAGCTAATTAACGTTAGGGGAACTTAGGAGTGTTTATTAGACATAAATAACAAAGCAGGTTAACTTAGCTGTTCACTCAGCACCGAACACCTTCATTTGTGTGCTGGAAAGAGCCTCAACTACCTAACGTTAATGGTATTAATATACAGGAGCTGCTGATTTGTTGTTGTCAGTAATTAGCCATATGCAGCAGGGATTTAGACAACATAAGTAGTAGAGGACTTACACACATACACAGAGATCTAACGTTAGTTGTTTGCTTTCGTTTCCTTTTAATGTTTTGTGGTTTAACGTTCAACCTCATGGGACGACATAGTGAAACATGTTACAGTTGCAGGAAAGTTTATAAAGTGTCATGCAGTACACTTTACATTCATGACATAGCATTGGAGCAATAGTGGAACATAGTTCATAAATGATACATGTCATTCACATAAAATAATGTTTGGTATTATAATGTGTTAGGTACTGTGTACTATAATTGTGAATATCTTCATATGCCTTGACTTAAAAAAAGCTGCCTAGCTGGCCAGGATACAGTCCTATATTGATATTCTTTTTTAAAGTATTTATTTGGCTTTTATTGCCTTTATTTGATAGTGACAGCTGAAGACAGACAGGAGGGGGTGGGGGGCAGAGAGAGGGGATGACCGCAGCAAGGGGCCGCAGGTCGGATTCGAACCCTGGGCCGCTGCAGCAAAGACTCAGCCTCGGTACATGGGTCGCCAGCTCTACCCACTGATCCCCTACAAAAAATCATTCAGCTGGTTGTGTGGAAATGATATATATTACAAAATAAAGAACGAGGAGATGAGATCTGTGATGCAATAAATATATGTGTTTCTTAACAAAATGTAAGGTATGAATGTAAAGAAAATATATTTTTTTATTTTTGGCCAAGATAATTGTAATGTGACATTTTCATATCATCCCATGCCTATTGAGCACATGACCTCAGTGTCCTCAGTGGTAGCTGCAGCCATGAAGGGACCGATAATAAAGTATAATAAATATATAAAACATGTGTTTTAGTATACAAAGTATGCACAGTGGACATATTGAAGGAAAAACCTGGATGATTGAGAGGAGAAACATACTGAATAAAGATAGATCGTACAAATGATAAGGGCCCAACTGAATTGTTTGTCCCCAGATCTGAAGCGAACTGAACACTTTCGGAAGATTTAGATGTCAGACAGCACTCTCATCAACAACAACAAATTAGGGAATATATTTTGGAAGAACTCTGTTTCCTTTAATTCATCCCACATCTGCTCACAGCAGCTTTACTTTAATATGTTATTAACAAAAGACAAAACAGATGCAACAAAATCAACATCGTCAAAACAGTCTAGTGGAAAAGTATTTGCACAAGGTTCTGTCTCTTCCTCTGAAACTGATCCAGATGAATACTCATAAAGGCTACCATCTATTTGTAGCTTTGGCTTGCATGCAAAGCTGCAGATGTTTTTCTCAGATAATATAGGCACATCCAGAAATGATCTTAAAACACTTTCCTCCAGGTTTGCTAAATCCACAGTATTCCCCTGCTGCAGTGAGTGCTGTACCTTCACAGCAAATATAACCTGGAGCTTGCCTCATCACAGAGGCTCTGTGGCGAGTTGATGTGACAGCTGCTAGCAAAATAACAGAATATTTCTGAAAGCTCCTCCATACTTTGTTCAAGCAAGCACAACAGTTTTTATGCATGGATTGAGTCTCCCGTGGGGGGTTCTTGTGTGGAATAAAAACAAGAAATAGTAGTTAGTATGAACAGCAGTATCACTAATGGATGAAAAAGGGGCGCTAGATAAATACAAATTTCTCTCATCAGAAAAATAATTGACACATTACTTCTTTCCCCAGCGTGCTTACAGGTTGCTTGAAGGGTGGAAAAAAACACATATTAAGAATTGAAGTGAGCAGAGATGCTCACCTCCTGCTCACTAACCTCTCAGTCTGCCTTTTAGAAGGTGTTCTGTTGCTTTTTAGGAATTAATATTTGATTAAATATCATCAGACAATATAAATGTGTCTGCCATTAGCTTAACCTTTATACCCTGGAAGCTAAAACCTGATTTACCTAAGATATTTGGATGTATTGGGCCATATGTTATAAATCAGTGAGCAGCAAACAGTATATTGTACAGCTGAGAAATAAGATCGGGCTAGAAATCAAAGTTTACTGAACATTATATTATGGATGATAACCTCTGCGTGTCTCTCTTTCCAAACAGCCCCTTTGCCAATGAAAGCAGCTAGAAGCAATATGTTGGGTGCTGGAACATCCAACAACAAAGTCAAGTATTCACGGCTGGCTGCCGATGACGATGGTTACATAGACTTACAGGTGAGAGACTTGTTCTTCTTTGGTAGCTCTACAGACCTGACACTGTCTCTGATGTCCCTGATCATCAGTAAACCTTTTACAACTGCAGACAATTAATTAGAGGTAAATCCCGAAAAGTGACTTCCTGGAAGTGTGCCAAAGCCTTCTGTGATTATACTGGAGAAGATATGAGTAGCTGTCTGCAGCAGAACAAATCTTTTCTGTTTCTGTGTCTGTTTATTGTCTTATATTTTGTCCAACAATTGAACCCTTTACAGTTCAAGAGAAGCCCTCCAAAGGTTCCCTACAAGGCGATTGCACTGGCAGTATTCCTGTTTTTGATTGGCTCCTTACTGATAATCTTCGGGGCTCTTCTTTTGTCAGGAACCATAAAGGTCGAGGTGAGTTCGCTCAGTCCATGTAATAAAATCTTTTCAAATGGTCTCAGGTCCAGATTTTGTCCGGAGCCAATATAGTTGGACTGTAGTATCCAACGTATCCCCAGCATATAAATTGAAATACAGTTTCTTGTTCTGTTGCCGAGAAGCTTATTGCTAAGCTTGTCACATTCTCCCATAATGTTTGGGTTCCTTAAAACTGACAGTAAATACCCCGTCAGGCTTGTTACCACAGTACAATTCTCCTGAAAATCCATTTGAGACAAAAATGTTTCTCTCAGAGCTGTCTGCCTCCTGTCTGCACTGTAATTTCTGTTTGGAAGATATATCTCTGTTTATTTTGCTCCTATATGTGAAGCAGAGAAGCTTTGTTTTTACATTTTTGTTTTCCAAAATGTGTCTCCATACACTGAGAGCAGTTTAATTATTAATCAAGTCTTCAGGTCATTTTGATGTTAAAGGGACAGTTCACCCCAAAATCAAAAATACATAATATTTTTTTCTTGCCTGTAGTGCTGGTTATGCATTTAGATTGCTTTGGTGTGAGTTGCTGAGTTTTAGACATACGGGCTGTGAAGATGTTTGTCTTCTCTTATATATAATGGAACCAGATGGCACTCAGCGTGTAGTGTTTAAAGCACCAGAAAAATAAATAGCAACATCTCTTTCCTTAAATCATGACCCGGTTTCTCAGATAATCCGCAGACCTTGCTGTGAGCAGTTTCATGTAGGTATATGTTTTTATTTTTTTGCATGGGTAGATGCCTGCAAACTTTGGCGTGGTGCTATGTAGAAAGAAAATAGTTCCTACATGAAACTTCAAGGGGAAAAATTCTTATTTATGATTTTGAACTGTTCCTTTTAAAAGAATTATTAAACATTTTGGGAAATTGGCTCATTTGCTTTGTTGCTGAGGGTTAGATAAGAAGATTGACACCACTGTGGCCAGTAGCCAGTTAGCTTAGCTTAGCAGAAAGGCTAGAAGCAAGGGGAAACAACTAGCCTGGCCAGTCACCTTAAAAGCTCAGTAATTAACACAAAACCGAAGATTGAAGATAACAAGTTGTGGTTTTACTGGGAGTTATGTGCCAGCCTGGCCAGGTGCACTAACTAGGCAGATTTTGTTATCTTTGGACAAAGTCGGACTAGCTGTTTCCAGTCTTTGTGATATGCAAAGCTAACTAGCTGCTGCCATTAGCTTCATATTTGCCGTACAAGCAATTAACCTTCAAAAATATTCAACCAGGCAAGCAGACTCCATCCACTAATGGAGATCAGGTGATGTGGATGAAGGCAGAGAAGTAAGTGGAGCTTGTGCAAAGATTTCAGAGATAACAGAGAATAAGCTCAGTGTCTTTTTGACCCCATGACTCTTCAGATTAAACTACAACCATTTAATAACTGAATTGTTATTAACTTTGCTAATACTGTGTAGTGGATCTAATCATGTCTTTATGCAATTTTTTTTAATTCAGCGTTAAAGGAGGAAAAGAAAATCCACGAAATATCATCGAATCTGCTACATTTTGATTTAAATCAGGAACTATCTGATCAAAGAATTAGTAAACAAGACCGTTAATCTTACCAGACATGCCAGTTTTCGACACTCAGCGCTGAGGTATGAAAACATTTCAATCCCTACCAAAAAAGTATTGCGGTGTGATACCCGGCCATACTTTTCACACACATCTACAGAGCCAACACAGCCTCCAAAATTTTAACTCGAGCAGTAATTAAAACACTCACGCTGCTGTTAATCTTGTCTTTAAATAGCTGTAATTGAGCAGTTGTCCTGACATTTTATTGCCTTGCTGCCAGTTTTGTGCTGCGCTCTTGCCTCTCCTGGCCACGATGGTTTTGTGTGTGTTTGAATACAACTAATGATTTTTATATTTTAAACCTTGGAGTGCCAATTTTGGTGGATCCCCTGCTGTGATTTCTGCTTCCTTAATTCATGACTCAACGTGGGAGATAACAGAGTCTGCGCATGTTACATTTGTAATTTATCAGTAGGAGGTTAATGTTAATGTTTTTTCCAGTCTGCAGATTGTGTTTGCAGAAAATTTGATCTGACATGAAGGCAACATCAGAGTATGTGAGCCATCTACTTGCCATTAGCCCACGCGAGTTAGAATAGCATATCTAATCCCACAAATTACACAAGGTTCAAGCAATGAATAATAGCAAAGTGTGTGTGTTAGACAACAGTGTTTCTGGTGAACTGGAACTACGTCAAGGCCAACATGATCCATTACAGTGGCAAATAAAAGTAGTCAGTTCTCCAAAATGACAAAAAGACACTTGAGCTTATTCTCTGTTTAAAAATAAATCCTAGCAAGGTCCACTTACTTTTCTGGTTTTATCTGCATCACCTGGTCTTCATTAGTGGATGGAGTCTGCTCAGTTGACATGGCGATGGAGCTATTGGCTGATGAAGAACATGAGACAGTATGTGGGCCATATGTCTATATTTTTGATTATTTGGGTGAACTGGCCCTTTAAAAACCACCTCACATACAGTATATCTAAATAGATTCTGTACATATCCCAGGCAAACATAATGTTTTAAATGCTTACAACCACAATAAGATGGTACCTACTGCCCATGCTGCAGTGCATCTTTCAAACAAACGGTGAGAGGGCCACAGTGACTCAGTGCACAAGATTGCCATCTGGTGGTGAAATGAGACACTCCACTTGCCCTTGATAGAAACTGCCTGTGCCTCCTGGTGGTTAGCTGCTACAGTATGTATATGAAATGATTTACATGAAACCAGATCTCAGACAGATGAAGTCATCACATCGTCTGTGTGCCTCCTGCACACGCTTTTCATTCAGAGGGTGTTTATATCATGCTGGCAGGCGATAAGTATGTTAAAGCCTGTTGAGCACATTAATCACTCTGTGATGCTTCTTCCAGCCCCCCATTACCAACTACAGTATTCTAGTATATTATGTTTGTGGCTAAAGAGTGGATCTGATACACACCAAAAGTAGATCAATGGTTCCCAAGCTCTTTGTAGACCTGTCAGTACAAATAAGTGTCTTCTAACCCCTCATCACAGGTTCTTGTTGTTGTTTTCAGCATCCAGACCGCACCATTCCTGTCATTATCATAGGACTACTTGTTTTCCTTCCTGGATTTTACCATTTGAGAATCGCCTACTACGCCGCCAAGGGTTACCGGGGTTACTCCTATGACGACATCCCGGATTTTGGCGACTGAGCCAAATGACAGCTGCTGATTGGCGGAGAATACCCTTCCTTTTGCCACACTGTGTATCCTGAGACTGTTGCCTGCTGTTTACTTTGAGTTTCTGAATGTATGTAGCCAATAAGGCAAAACCTTTATCACCGTTCTGCCACGGAGACTCGTGTTTGTTAACAGGTGCACCGTGCAGGAAGTGTTTTTGCTGATTTTTGAAAACAGTGGTGTTGTTTATTTGCTGCTCTGTGTCGTATTATCCTCCACACAAAAGCTCGACGAACCATAGAGGCTTTACATATTCTACAACAGTGAACCAAACATGAGTAGAGGATGTCAGAGCAGCCGCTTGCCTGCGACCCTACAGCAACATGTTGCTGATGTACAACACTCACCACTCAGTCGTGACATGATAACAAACCTGGGGTGAGTGGTGAAACATTTTTTGGACACTACACAGATGCCTTTAACTTACTACTGCTTGAAATTCAATGATCTAGATGACTGAAAATCATGTTCTTTGCACAGTTGCACAGCTGTTTCATAGTGTTCTTAAACAAATATTTAACCTATATGATATGAAAAGCTCGGAGGCCTATTCTTCTCCTGAAGGATTATATTTGCAGTACTATCCAAAGATTGATTACTTTGCCGAAGAGCAGTCTATTTTTGAATGGAATGTATTACTTTCTTTATGAAGTATTGCTGTGTGTATTCATTTGGTTTTTAATAACAAAGCTGTATTTTATACGTACATTTGCTTGAATTTAAGAAATAAAGAAATTAAAAGTAGAAATTAGAAGTTTTGTGATTCTTGATCACCATGCTTATTGTGATGGCAGACTATAGAAATAAATGGTGCAATAAACCATTACCATAACAAAATAAACCTCATTATGTATGATATTTACACATTACATAAAGAAAACATGAAAGTGCAGTATTAGAAACACACACACACACACACACAAAAGTAAAGTTAATAATGAGATGTAAAAGTACAGATAAATAGCTTACTATAACTTCCTTACTTGTAATTCTTTCTTCTTAATTTAAAGATCCCCTCCATGTATTAAGACATTTATAAAAATAATAATAGTTTTTTCATCATTATTTCCACATTAAAACCCTTAAAAAGTCATCAACTCAGTACTACATCATTCTCAGTGTATGTGCACTGGATGCTTCAAGTTTCTTAATCACACTTTTATAAATCCTGGACCGGGACTGACTTCCAAACTACTTGTAATGTCACAAATGACTAATGAAAAACATTCCACTTTCAGCAGTTCAGTGTAGAAAACATCCTAATAGCGTTGACAGGTCTAAAAGTAACAGGAGGTTTAAGCATCTTTTTAGCAAATAGATAAACTACAACCACATGGCATCAGTCCTAACATCATGAGAACACTGTGCACCTTCAAGTGGCTCATCAAAACTATCTTTTAAAAAAAAACATAATAACATCTAAGAAATAATTTAGTTATAAGAACATTGAGATTGACATTCTTGGTTGTATGAGAAAGAGAAGTTACCTTTGGCCTTCCCGTGGCCTTCAGAAGACTCAAATGATGTTATTGCTTGTTGATCATGTAACTTGTGCAATGGCCTGCCTAATGAATTTCAGATGGAAAAAAAAAAGTATTTCATGTCTAAATTGGAAATAGAGCACATAATACAAATAAAGGATTTCAATCATAGTTCATGGTGAAGTGTGGCTACGGAGTGGGGACGGGCTGAAATTTATTTTTTTATTAAGATAATTTTTTTTTAAGGTTTTTTTAATTAAAAAAAAAACATTTTAAAAAAAAAAAATATTAAAAAAAAAAAAAAAAATAAATAAACGGGAGTGGAAAGGACCCATTGTGAGAAATGACCCTGCAAACAAAGCACCCAAATAAGCTGTACATCTCTTCTACAGTGGCTTTAACAGCTTCTTCTTTGTGTGATGGTGTTTAATTTGACTCACAAGTCCAACAAGTGCCACTTTTCCCCTCCTAGTTTGGCCACCAACATCAGGTAAAGGACACCCTCTTGTGGTTACCACTACACTGGGTGCCGCCAGGGGATTAAGGGCTGAAAGAGAAAGAAAAAGAAAAATCCCCCTTTTCATCCTCTGCCTGCACAAACAAACTCTTTAATTAAAATCTGCATTGGCTTAAACATTAAAGGGCTTATAGGACTGTGGTATCAACTTGTATTTAATGTGGTTTGAGTCTTTTGAACACAACGTGAGAGCAGCGAGCCAGCGGTGGGAGGAGGAGGAGGGGGGGGGTTGAACCCAGTGAGGGAGCCGCAAAGTGCGTCGATGCTTCACTGTCACCTGTACGTGAAACGAACACCTGTTGCCCGGCGGGTTTTAAAAAGAGAAAAACGCTCCTATTTCAGGTGGTTTGCAGCGCCACAAAGGAAACAAGGCCTGCTTTTAGTTAGCCAGACAGTGACCCGGTACTCCACACGGAGCAAACCGAGCCACAGGTTGGACTAAAGCGCACATACGGAGGATGTGTTATTAAACGGAAGTGTCCCAGCGGCCGCCAGTAACCGAGCTACAGGTAGGATGAGTAAAAAAAGAGGATACAAACCCAGCAGTTAATGATTCTGAAAGTGTTTCTGACTTCCAGCAGCTTTGAAAGGATGAGAAATTAATGCTTTGAGCCGGTGCTGGGGAGTGCGAAATTTCCTCTCAATCCTCTGAAACTGTGTCATGCATTTAAACGCCGGTAATGAAGTTTCTGTGGGGGCTTTTTTCATCATAATGGGAAATGTGAGACTGAACAGAAAGTTTTGTGGAGCTTGAACTCACCAGCAGTTGCTTCTCATGAGCTGTCCAAGCTCCCCTAAAAAAAGTGTAAATCTAAATAGTTGGGCTGTGTTATTCATTTATAAGACGTCTGCGTGTTGTTGTTCGTTTCCCTCTGGGGTTTATTGGTCTAATTGGATTATAATGATGTGGCAACCTTTGGAACAGAGTTTTGAACCCTTTAAAACTGTGATAAAACAGGGTAAAGATAGTGGATGTTTGGCAAACTGGAAACTGCCTCAAAAGGCTGCCAGAAATAATGCTGGGTCCATCCCATCAATTCCAATCATAGTCTTTAAAAATTGTATAAACTAGTCTCCTGTAATTCCATTAACATTACAGTAGTATTGTTTGAAACAGTTTTTCATTCAGATGAATGTTTTTTTTTAATAGTTTGTGGTTTGAAAGAGGAGCAGAGTCTGAGGTCATAAGTCTTTAATGCTTTTTCCCACTCAGTACATCTAACAGGGAGATGGATATTATTTCTTACATGGATACATCTATAACTTACAACCTCACAATGGTGCAATATGTAGAGCCTGAGACTGAATACGAAATTGCATCTTTTTGTGCTGTTGATTTTCTACTGAGACCAGAGTCTATCTTTATTTCACATATTATGGGAGAAATATTCTCATAACCTGCCCTGACTGGGCACATTTTATCATTTCACATTCCATTTCTGGTTTGATTGAGTCTGTTAAGGTGCCAGATGGGCGCAATTTCTTATAATATAAGTTAGCATCAGTGGGAGGTGAGTGAAAATTAATTTTACCTTCTTTCTTTGGAAGGACTTGCCTTGACACCACCTGAATTATATGGATGCAGTAACCACTTCACATCTGATGCTGAAAACAGGCTGACGTAGATGCAAATTAGTATCAGCAAAAGACTATTAGTCCATACCAGTGCTTTTGCATGCTTTATCCCAGGGCATTACTCACGAGTTGAATGCCTGCTGTAATGTTGATTTCGAATATCAGACGAGATTCATTTGGAAATGATTCACTGTCACCACTCAACAATAATGTAACTTTGAAAACTTTAAAGGAGACATTGTGATCACTGTGATGGATTATCCATGTCCAGAAAGTTCCTGGAACACTGTAATGACATGAATTGAAACCAACAACTGAAAACAGAATAAAAACCTGCCAACAGAAGTTCAAGAATTTCTTTAAAGCACTGATAGTCATGACTCAGTAAGCAAAAAAACAAAGTAAAAGGATCCTTAAGTATTCTTTATGAAGAGCTTCACTCACAAAAAGGCCATCTGCTTCATTGTGTGGGTGTGGTTCAAGCAGATCAGCTGTCATCAGGTTCGGATTCAAATGTTGCTACATGCCGATTGGTTTGCAAGCATGTGACATCGGCCTTTTCCAGTTCAGCCCTACGCACTTCAAACCAGCAAGAAGAACACAAAAATAAAATTAAAAAAGCAGAAATCTCTCATGTGAAGTGAGTGTGTTCATGCACTAAGAACTCATCACTCATAGTAAGAAGATAGAAATAGGTTTTCAGGACCTTTAAAGGTCCACTTTGTAACATGCATGAGGATCTATTGGCAGAAATGGAATGTAATATTCATGGGTAACATACATTAGTGTATAATCACCTGAAAATAAGAATTGTTGTATTTTCATTACTGTAGAATGAGCCGTTTTTATCTACGGGGGAGCGGGTCCTCCTCTACGAAGTCCGCCATGTTGAACCACCATGTATTTACAGTGGCCTTTTTTTTTTTTTTTGTTAAAGGTCTTCATTTTCCCTGACAATTAGATATCCTTTTCAATCAATGTGCACAGCAGCCAATCACATTGCAGGAGATTTAGGGAAAGGTGCGTTTGGCAGTAAAGACCACCAGACAGAAAGCAGATGATACATCAGAGTATCAGATTGAGATGTAAAGACTCTGCTGTTGTCAACAGAAAACAGACGTCTGCATGCAAAACATTCGGCTCAGAAATGACAAATAACATAAGAAATAGTTTAATGGAAAGGAATAAATAGAATATAAAAAAAATTACGCTCTGCAAAAATTGAAGTGGCATTCAGTTTTCACGAGAGGTTTATAATGACGTTTAGGACTTGAAACACAAAATTTGCTCTTTACTTGGGACTTTATAGCCAAGACTTAGACAATATATTTTTGATTTGTATAACTTTGCCCCACCGGATTAAATCAACAAAAAGATTTCGGCTTTCATCTGGATTTGCCTGCTTTCTGATTCATAGAAAAGATACCTAATGTTTGTATTCCGAGCATAGCGATGCAGTACCCACGCAGTGGAAACCTTTTTACTTTTCCAATTTTTTCTCCCCTTTTCAGTCTGTCTTATTTTCTCTTAAGTGCACATCAAACGGGGCCATGCAGCGTGTTCTATTGTAATGGGAAGGTTAGAATCTGAAAATGGGCTTCTGTAAGCCATGTACAAGCTACCAAAAAATAAAATGTACACTTACAGGGTACAGACAAAATAATGTAAGCACCTCATGGAGAAGAGCTTAAGCTCTGAAGTAACTAAATCACAATAACAATTACTGCTGCAGAGGTGGGTTGCAGCAGGTTGAATGCCAATGAGCAGCATTTTGCAGCTGCGACTGGCAATCAGCACTCTGACGTGAGTTGTCAGAGCACGTCAACTAAGAGAGCTCCAAAGAGCTGGATTAAAAAGCTACAGAAACATGTTTACTGTGTCAAGAAGAATAGTCTCATAAATCTCAGTGAAAGAAGATTGGAACTGTGTGTGTGATATGATCGCAATATGGTGGACATGGTGGTGAGGTTTATTGGAGTACAGGACTGTCAGTTCAAGTCAAGTCTCAAAGTTTTTGCAAGTAGATTGGAAGTTTTTGTGTTTTTTAAGTCTTTGAGATTGCTGGATTTTCCTTGAAAGCTGTGTTGGTTAACCTGGTTGATTCCTTTTGATGCAGAGCCCTAATGATTAGATATCCAAGCTGTGAGACTATGCAAGGCCTGTTTGGGGATTTTT